ATGAAATATATACGAACACTCATATCCGAACAAATGAAATATATGTAGATACTCAGTTCCAAATGCCATAAATTGGTTTCAACATCTCCATCCGAATACTCAGTGTTCAAAAAATGAAATATATGTGAATTCAACAGATAGATATAAATCTGAACAGATACTCAAAAAAATTAAACAGAGAGTCAAAAAAAAGTCCACAGATAAATTAAGGAGTAAAATTGAAAATAAAATGTCCTCTAAAACTAACAAAAGAATTTCCCATCAAACTATTTTACTGTTAAATTTTTGTTTGCATTCGAGCTCAAGCTTATTAAAATTTTAATAAATAAGTTCAAACATATTAAAACTCGGCTCGTAAGTTCAACTCGTTAGCTAGCTCATTTAACATTTATTATTTATATATTAAATAATATAAAAATATGTATAAAAAGTAAGATAAATATGTTATTTATATATTTAAAAAATATAAATGTAAATAATAACTAATTATAGATAATACATTTATATAATAGTTGTGGTAGATATTATTATTTTGGTAAAATATTAACTTCTTTTAATATGTTTATATATATTATATATATAATTGTATAATTAAAATTTCAGCTGTAACTTTAGTTTTACGCAAGTATGAATTTATAATTTTGTTGGTTCATTAAGACTCGTGAACAAATTTGAGCTCGAGTCAAGCTTAAGCCAACTCAATTAAGCTCTATTCGTTAAATTTTTATTGAGAAAACTCAAACTCGAACTTGTTAAAATCTTAATAAACAAACCCAAATATAGTAAAATTCAACTTAATTCGCCTCGTTTGCAGCCCTACCTAATGTCTTAGACTAGCAAACTTTTCAACAATTTTCTCTTTTTCATTAGACTTCTACTAGTGAGAAACAAAAAAATGAAATAATAATAATAATAATAATAATAAGGGAAAATTATGGGAAGGAAAAACTCAGAGTTTGACTCTTATAACAAAATAAATCTTGAATTTTTGATTTTGTCAATTTAAATCTTGAACTTTTGATTTATTTTCAATCTAAATCATTTGCATATTTTCGTTAAGTAAAATTAATTAAAAAAAACTTAGTATTTTAGTCATTAACTGAGGCCTCTTTTGGAAAGATGGTTAAAAGCCATCTTTCAACTTTTAATCTATTTTTTGCTACATCATTTTTCTACTTTTTTTTACACGTTTTTTCAACAAAAAAAGTCAAAAAATCAACTTTTAACCAACTTCCCAAAACAACCCTCAATGCAAAATGATATTTTAAATACTTATGTATAAACATTAAAAATTTAATAACTAAAATACTCTTTTTATCGGTTTCACTTGACAAAAATAGGCTAATGGTTTAAATTGAAAACCAATCAAAAGATTAGAGTTTAAATTTACAAAATTAAAAATTTATTTTGTTAAAAAACTCAAATTCTGAAATTTATTTTGTAATTGTCCCTAATAACAATAACAAATAGAATTGTGGCATTTTGTGAAATGATCCAATTGTAATTCTTGTCATTGGTATGTCTAATAACTGGAGTTCATATCACGAAAACGACTCTCAAAATGAAAGACTCGGTACATCTTACCCTCTCTAAATCTCATTTTAACAGCGTGCAATGAATAAGTGTATTTTTTGTCTTTTTATGAAATATGAGTTAGGTATGAATTAAGTTTGAAGTAATGTGGTAGAGAGGTGATGTGACTTAAATAAGATAATGCGACTTAAATAGGATAGTGATTTTTTGACTTTTTAACTTTTTTAGATTATGACAAATAAGACCTAAATCACTTATTTCTTCTTCTTTAAATGTGATGTTTCGCGCCCGGGGGGGTGTTGACACTATATAAGCGAAAGAGTAAGTAAGCCCTATTCATCTTAACTTTCTCCACTTCACTTTCAATGTGCAATGAATATGCATACAATCACAAGGTGAAGCTCCTTTACCGGTGTACTAAACCGCTTATTTTAATGTGATGTTTTGAGAAAAACTATATAAGCCAGCCCTATTCATTTTAACTTTCTCCACTTCACTTTCAATGTGCAATGAATATGCATACAATCACAAGGTGCAGCTCCTGAAGTTTAGGCTAAGTTGGTTGACAAGAATCTTGAAAGGGGAATGAGAATGTAATTTCAGTGTTCGGAATAGATTGAAATATTGATCAAAAAAAAGAATAGATTGAAATAAAATTCATTTTAGTAAAAATTACATTCTCAAACTAGGTGTGAATCCAAATTGCCCACTTCCCATGGCCACATTCCTAGAAAATGTTATCCGAGTAAAAATAAAATTTTACTCCAAAATATTTAAATTATATTATATTTCTATTAAGGATTCTAACAAAACCAAACGCTCAAGGGTAAATTACATTGGATCTCCTTTGAGATTTGAAAAAAATACAGTAAACCTCACAATTTTAACATAATTGTACTAATCTCCCTTTTAATAAAATTAAATAAACCAAAACTAATACAGATAGCGTGAAAATACAAAAAATAAATATCCTAAGAGTATATTTTCGTGTAAAAGAGATGATATTATTTTTTTATCCATATAACTAACAAATTATTGATGGAAAGGGAGCTAAGCGTTATATGAATTAAAATCTCAAGAAAGATCAATGTAATTATGTTAAAACTGCAAGATTTACGCTCTTTTTTTTTTTTTTCCAAATCTGAAGAGAGGTTGGTATAATTTACCCCACCCTTAAATAGCATTGACAAAAGAATTTCATTACTAGTAATAAGATTCTCATTTCCACAAAGGCGTCCGAACACAACTTTAAGCTAGATAATAATAGCCCCGTTTGATAGAGTTGTGGAAAAGTGATTATACATTATAATTTAACAAATTATAACTTACAGTTGTGAACATAAGCTGGTAACTTGTTTGGTGCAACTATGGGAGATTTGAGCAGCAGATTAGTGTTTGGTTGAATAAGCTGTAAAGTAACTTTTTACTGTGTAACGCCCTTTTTGCCCTTATAAGATATAAAATTTATGATTTTATTTATAATACATTCTTTTCTTCTTCTTTTTTTCTATCCCCTTATTTTCTTTTTTCTTTCTTCTTTTTCTTCTCCTCTTTCTTTGTTAATTTTGTTTAATTTATTAATTCATTAAAATTAATATTTATGTTCTAATTTATATTTATGGCGTGATTTCATTACATATTATTGTTTATATATATTCATTTTAATTATTTATATATGTATTTCTTTTCTTTATTATTATTATTAATTGTAATTTTTGTTCATCAATTAGTATAAAAATTATCAATTTGTTCATCAATTATTCATATTATTATTCAATTTGTTCGTCAATTATTCATATTATTATTCTTCCATTCATTTTAATTATTTTTGTTCATTACATATATTCATTAAAATTATTAGTATCAATTAGTATTAATTATTTTATTTTTATATATATATATATATATATTATATAATGATGTTGGGTATAGGCTGGAGATGGAAATGACCTAGCCGTCGTCGAAACAATGCCGGAGATGCGTGAACCGAAACCCATCACTGTCGATGACCTAGCCCCCTTCTCCTTCCTCCGAAACCCTAGACCTTATAGTCTACCAAAACCCTAGCCTGGTTCTCCAACCAAATCATGGAAAGGGAGAAAGAGAGAGAGAGCTCTGGTTCGTTGATGCGATGGCGGTGATTCTCCGATCGCGACGCTAGGGTTTCAACCCGTGACGTTAGATTTTCAGACTGCATAAACCACAAAGAGAGAGAGATCACGACGAGAGAGAGAGAGAGAGAGACAGAACCAGAAATCCCCTGTCGTCGTCAGAAATCGCCTCTCTGGTTCTTGCGAGAGAGAAAAATGAGTTTTTTTGTTTATATACATGGCACACTTGTAATAACTTGAAATTATGAGGGGCATTTAAGTCATTTTGCCCCTCAAATGGCAGCTGCCCGCTTAAGCTGTTTCGGAAAGCACCTCCTCCCCCACTCAACTAAAAAGCTCATTTTCCACTTATAAAAAGCCATAATCTGCACCCATAAGTTACACCAAACTCTTCAAAATCACTTATTTTAAACTGTAAGTGAATTTAAGCTGAAAATAAGCTGTGCCAAACAGACATGATATATCCTTCATAAAAGCCACTAGAAAACAAAACGACACTAACAAATCACTGTAAAAAGACAGCAGAAAATGCATAACCTTGGCAAATATTAGCAATTTTTTTTTCTTATTAAAGGGGTTTGCTGTTTATTAATCCATTACGATATTGACTAAATTGATAGAATGGATCACCAGAAAGAATTTAAGTTTAGCTACTGAAAAATGGTTCAAGAATCAAAGAGGTTTCAGAAGATTAATAAAGTTCAAGGTATGTGAGGCTAAGGCAGAAGATAGCAACAAGTAGTCCTAAAATTAAGAAATTGCAAGCATGAAATCAATCATAACAACGATGATGACAATAACACCAGCAACAACAATGGTGGAATCAACAGACATAAAGAGGCCAGTTCAAACAAGAATCATTCCATGAGGCCGAACATATGCTCGACCTACCACAAGGTTCCAAATGACAATACAAGTAGACTGAGTTATATAGAGAACAAAGCACTTAAGTCCTCCGAAATAATAATAATAATGTGAGAAACTCATTTTTATTTGGTCATGGGTTTTGTCCACAGAATGACAGAAGCATCCTCCACACACACGTGCACGCATACACATCCAAAGGACTAAACCAGGGCCAAAAGGAGGTCCTGACTGTCCCTATTTTTATTCAAGAAAAATGGCACCTTGAAAATCCAAACAAAGAAAATCAAAATCACACCCAGCATCATGAAGATTATTGGGGGTCAGCTCTGAAGCAAGCTAACACTATGTTGAACACTATTAAATAAATTTGTATACAAGGACGTAGTCTGTACGTTGACGGGAGTAGTACTTATGGAGAATGGGTTTAGAAAAGGGAAAAGGGAAAAATTAAACAAAACAAAAATGCTAACACAACCACACAAAGGGTTATTTTGAGGAAGAAACAGCAACTCTTGCATTGATTGAACTCATCATCACATTGTATTATTGATACCATAATAAAATCACTACAAGATAAGTTCGAATCAAAAGGCTAATATGCATTACTGTACAATCAATTCAGATAACAAATTTTACAAAATTGGAGAAAGGTCATGCTGTATATAAACTGCTAACCTCTGAGATGTGATCAGTAGTAAGGAATTTTTTATTGAACTGCTAACCGCTGCAGATGATCCAAAAAGACCTCAAAGCTAACATCGTCCGTAAAGAGGATTTCCCTTTCAGGAGCAGGAATATCAGAGTTGTATGTAGCAGAAGGATTCAATTTTGCCAAAAGAAAACGAGCCTGCACAATACACGAAAAATGACATAATTTATTACTACTTAGACCTTTTTTAGAGTCAACATTACACATAAAATCAAACCATGCATAAAAATAAATAAATAACCCTAAGAGAGGAACAAAACGGGAAGAAGCAGAAGAAGAAATCTTTTTAGGACAAGACCTTCAAATGATATGGGGTGTTATGGAACTTAAGAAAGGCCTCAGACCATTCAGTTCATGCCAAGTGTTTTTTTTAGTAGTTTCACTTTGGAAGCAAAGCAACACAAATATGAATGACCTATTATTACATTTATATACCAATTGTAAAAGGGTTAGGGGCTTGGGAACCAAACAAACTGATTTGGTTCACATTTGCCTTTAATCCAGTTCCTAAAAAAATATATAATTGAAATATATATATATATATATATGCGCTTTATATTACTTTGGAAAAGCAACCGTTATGAATTATTTTCACAAAAGGTTAGCCAAATAAACTACACAAACTCTACGCCAGTCACAACAGCTGACAAGGCTCGTGAGTTGCCAAACAGCTTTTATAAGTGCAACTTGTAGGCAATTTACATTTAAGTATGATGATTTTGCTTAAAACACAGAATATGAATAGATAACAGGATATTTTTCAAATCACTGAAGAATGTATCCACCAAGCAAAGCTACCCACAATCCACATCAGCACCTCAGTTTGTTGCTCAACTCCTTAATGCAATGAAGTATAAAGATTACTGACCTGAGAGCCATGCTGATCACAAATGACCAAACGAGGTACTGGAAATCTCTCCTTAATTATTATTTTCGCATCATCTTGAGGCGCTTGCAGCAACTGGGCAAACACCTGAAAGGATTGTATAGTTTCCTTGAGCAAGCCATGTTGTTAAGGCAAAAACAAAAACAAAAGCAAAAACAAAAGAGTAATGCTCTATATACCACATTTGGTTTATCATCTCACTTGTTATAATTGTTTTGGTTGAATGGGTCCCACCACCCATTTCTATAACCAATACAATGACAACACATCTCATGCAAATCAAACGTGGTATATAAATGTGGTCATTGTAGCATTATTGAAAACAAAAACCAAACAAAATCACGAAAACTTGACATGGTTAAGCATAAGGATCCAAGTGTAGTGTAAACCTTTCTTTTACAAGTTGGTAATAGTCCTCAATCGGGATAACCTCGTGAAATTGTTTGAAGGGAATGAATGAGAACAAGAAAACAAATTAATCATTGACTCAAGAAAGCCTAATTTTTAGAACACCACAATTTGAAGCATGGAAACAGGTAAATCAGCTGGAAAGAGGAAGTAGAATGACTCTGAGAAAATTAAAAAAAAAAAAAGGAAGCAGAAGTATTTCTCAACTTCATTTATTGCAGGTCTACATTTGGAATTCCAGTAATCACATGACACAAAATAGTCCGTCGCATCATGTCTCAAACATCTGATGGTTCTCTATGTGGGACACACGTGATAATAAACTCTTCCACTCATTTCATAATTTTCTTTATTATTAAAATTACACACCCTTCGTTTGGCCTGTCTAGTATTTCTACCTGATTGAGTGTGTATATATCTGTATGCATATGCACTTTTATATATATATGTTAATTCATTTTGTCTTGGATGCAAATAATATTTAACATTTTGACTTGGTTTCAATATTTTATTTATTTGGCATAATAATGCTTCTATTTATTTCAACATTTTGGTTGATTTAGCAGATAATATTAAACATCTTGACTTGGGTGAATGCTATAAATAATGTTAAATTGTGTTTAATTGTTGAGTTTCGTTGATGTGCTAAATTTTGTTTATGTTAGGTTTGATACCCATGGTCACAATGTTGATTAATTGCATTTAAATTTAAGTTTCGTTTTGTTAAAAGTTAAGTTTTTGCGATTAAATTTAGACTAATAAAAAGAAGAAGAAAATTTGTGTATGGTTCTAGGTGAGGTTTTTCCCCCACTGAGTAAAAAAATTCCTAGATCCGCCTCTGGATTATCTTCAGTTTATCAGTCATGATTCTGTATACAAAAAAATTTCACCAAGCAAAGAAAAGAAAATATGGTCATGCTTTTACTATCATTTTCAGTTCAGCTTCTAAAAAAGGTTACCGCATGTTCAGGAAGATTATGATAACCAGCCCTTCGCCACTGAACAATAGTAGATCCATGAAATACGACAATGGTAAAATAAGAATCCAAAAGTAAGATCCTATCAGCAGCAATGGCCGCCACGTCAAGGAGAGCTGGTTCTGGGCTAGAATGGAAAGAGTAAGAAATTAATGAAGGCTGTATCATAACAACCGAATTAGAAACATTTTCCCGGTTCAGAATCATTCTAAAATATGCTGTCTCATCTGGGCTGTTGTTGAAAACCTGAACCCAAAAAAAGAAAAAAAAAAACATAGTTGAGCAAAGAAGATAAAATTTGCAGCACATGAAGTATAATCATACAAGTAAAAATATATAGATGGCACAAAATGTAGAAATAACCAATAAAGATTAAAACACCTGCACGAACTGAGAACGCCGTAAGTGGAACATAAATTGTGGAAATATTGAGAACCGGGGAGATAAGCTGAAAGAAGACGGACTGTCCTTTTGGTAATCTCCAAACCGAGAACATAGATGTATTAATGACTTATCAAGCCATCTTATAGGGTCAAATTCAGCCTGCACATCAGTTTCAGAGGAATTGTGAAAACAAGACAATAAAAGATATCTTCTATCTCATATGAACAAAAAAGATCGCAATAAATTTTCCCTGACTACACATTCTATAAACCTATGTTAGCTAGAACGCAGATCGTTCTAGTATGATGAACGGAAGCTGGAATGTAGTACGCCAAATGCTCTAAAGTACGGTACAATAAGAGTAGAATTCTTAATTTGACATCCAATATATTACAGTATATTTTTCTTCAAATTAATCGTTCACCAACATAGTTCTATGAACATTATGATCCATTGTTTTACAGTTTATCAATTCAAAACTCCACTCCATCTAGATTTTGGTTCATTATATTTGATTTTTTTTTCCTATTAAGGAGAATTTTTAATGGAAAGCATAGAAAATATTATGGGATCACTTTGGGCCGCTACATTCACCATTTTGGAATGAAAGTGTACACCATGGTTTGGAACATGTGCTCCAAAACGTAAATCACAAGGGTGTAGCGTTTTCTGGTAACACTGATATAAACCCAATCATTGTCTTAAGTCTATGTTGCAAGAATAAATGTGCAGACAAATGGATAAGGTTTGTCAGCATACTGTTTTGAGGAACTGATGTTTATAACACTGTTCATTGCATTGACATCCTTGTCATTTTCTTAGTTGAAGATTGCACATATAAATGTGACATTCCCAATATTGATCACAATAATTTATAAGCCAACAAATAAGTCAAAACTAATCATGTTACTTAGCACACTTGTGGCATTTTGGCTTTTATAATGGTTAAAATAAGGCATGTTGTTTCGTAACCTAGTTAACTTTTTGGCTTTTTGGTAAAAATAACAAATGAATAAAGCTTTTAGGCTGCTTTTTGACCTTTTTGCTTTTGGCTTATTTTAGTAAATAAGTTGACTTTTTGATTTGTAGCAACTGACAAAATGACTTTTTCATTTATTGGACTAAAAAAGTCAAATAAGTTAGCTTATAAGCCACAGCCAAAGGTGGCCTAAATAGAGGGTGCAAGGTGAAATAAGGTTGGATATAGATCTAACCTTCACATTAGCTACACAAAGGGATGCTTCTCAGACTCAAAGCTACATTCCTAGACACATAAGCCGAAGCTTTTTACCATTGCACCAAACCTAAGAAGCTAATAAGCACAAACACTTCTATGGAGGCGGCTTGTAATGTCGGACACGGCACTCCTAAAAGTATGTCTGACACTTCTACAACGTATCTTAACTAAAAATTTAAATTCATAACATCGGACACTAGGCGACACTTTTTAAACCTCTGAACACAACATATGTGATGAATCTATTCATAGTAACAATATTCCGCATTCTTCATTATGCAAATTATGTATTCTAAATATATTTTGAAACATTTCTAAGACAACACGTCATGTGTATTTCAATGTTCTATAGTTAATTTGCATTACTTAGATTGAAATTGTTACGTAAATGATATCTTGATGTTTAAATTATGAAATATATGACTTTTTAATTTTAATTAATATTTTCTTTTTTCATTACCATTGAATAAACTAGTCAAATATTTGACATATAATAAATTTATAAAAATATAAATTTTTAAAGCCGTATCATGTCCTGCATTTTTAGAAAATCAACGGGTCAACGTGTCGATTATATACACATATAATATATATATATTATAACAAAAAAAGCTTGGATGTTGTGTGTTAGAATGTATGTATTATTGATTGATGTTTTGATATATATTACAATGATTCATGATTCCTATATATAGAAGATGGTGAGTGTGTAGTAGGTGAAGAGTAGGTGAAGTGGAGGTGGTAGTGGTGTAGTGGGTTAGGTTTAGTGGAGTAGGTGAGGTGGTAGTGGAATGTGTGATAGTGGAGGTGGTAGGTGGAGATAAATTCTAACATTGTGTTTCCGCCTTTCCAATAGCAAGTGAAACTTCATGAATGGGCAAAAAAGACGTTCAAACAAGGTGTTGAGGTTTCTCTTCAAGCAATCGTCATTCTTCGCTCAAAATGATTCATGAGGCTTCTGTATAAATATATTTATATATATACATATATTTTAATGTGTGTGTGTGTGTGGAAACATCTGCAATCTAAAGACAACACCATCAATCAAGTAAACATTTCAATGCCCAAAAAATTGAAATAAAACTTCTAACTTCCAAGCAATGATTATAAAATAATTAAGAGGACTGATATAAGAAACGTCCCATAACTGGACGGAAAAGGAAGAAAATAAAAATAGAAAGATGATCCTCAATCCTAATTTAACAGCAATTTGGAACATGTTGGATTACTTATAAGCTATAACTTTGTTTAGACAGTTACATGTTGCTCCAAGGACAAGGCGGTGCATCACTCCTTCATGCATAGTCATTTTGCTTACAAGTTGTGCTACTGTTAACTAGTTATCCTGATTAGAGAAGCTCCATCATAATAAGTAACTAAAACCTATAAGCATGAAGGGGTGCGCTCCATATCCAATATTTACTGAATAATCCAGAAGAAATAGAGAAGAAAGTTCAGAGTCCTCAAATTTAATTTCCTTATCATAATGCACAGTTGAAAATTATTTATCGGTTGGTCCTTTGATGGGGTTAACATTTGAAACATGCTAATTCTCAAAGGTCAGACCAGGGTCCTTTTATATCTGGTTGATATGATTATCCTTAGGTATCACACCCAAGTGGGTGCAGGTATGCACACGCATGCACATACATATATGCGCGCACAAACACAAAATCAATTGTGAGCACATATCAATTGTGAGCACATACAAAAACATTTTACGCAAGATCATCGTAATATATTGAAATATCATGCAAATCAAAGCCATTACCTCAGTTTCCATTTTGAAAGAAACTAGGCGTGCCATGACTACCGCAGCTGCTTCTTGGTCAAATCCAGCAATTAAGTCCTATGACATAAAACCAATTTCATAAATTTATTGGCTTTTTAATTTTCAATAAGCTTAAAAAGCAAACTTTCGAAGCCCACTATAGAAAATTAGTAGTCCTCAATAGTATGAATGTGATAACATAAAAATACAAATACTAAAATGAACTAAAATTTTTAAAAACATTAAGTTCAAAACAGTGTTCAATTCACTCATGAATCAAGACAACCAACAACATTGAGAAGGAAGATTAATCTGCCTAGAGAGTTGGAGAAAATCGATTCTGCATCAAATTACAGCAGAGAATCTAAAAGACCAAAGAACCCTTTTCCGAACTTTAAGGCTACTATGTGGAACTACCTCAAGTCACATTCAGCACCAAGAACCTTTTCCTTTCACTAGGACAAAAAGGGAAAGTAAATCTGAAAAGTACTTTACATTAAATTAAACTAGAGGTAATCATGTTTGCAATTTTAAATCTAAATTTTTCAGCAATTTGATGAATGAGGAAGATGGGTTGAATTTGAAAATTGTTAGCAGTTATTCAGTTATCTACTGGAGTAGCTAACGATGTGGGAATTCTTGGTATTTAAAATATATAAATAAAGCATGACAAAGCTTCAAAATTGTTGTGAATTGTGTGCTTTATATAGTATAGAATAGATTAAAACAAAGTTGCGAAGAGCCATGCCATTTAGAAAGGCATGGTTTTCACGATTTATATGCACAAAGCAAATAGCTTTGATGAATGAGCCATGAACCAATAAATAAAGGCAGCATTTATCACATCAATGAAGATAAAAACACAGTTTCTTATCTATCTCAAAAATATATATATATATATATAATATAAAAACAAAAATAAAATAAAATAATCAACACATCTTGCCTGTATACTTCCAGTTCCAGCAACCCATCTTCTGGAGAGGGTAGTCACACGAAGTCGCATTTGTCCACTAATATGCTGATAACTGGAATAAAACATATCTGTAATAAGTCAGGCTTCCATATTGTTAAGCAAAAGAAGCTGATGTATAATTTCTCAATAAAGCATAATATTGGATTTCATACTAAGTTAAAAATTGAAAGTAGAATTGGCTGTTGGCTGATTGACCAATGGCTTCTGGGATTTCCTTCTTAACAATTTCAAATACAAGGCATAACGATGTGGCTTTGTCAAGGCCACACATCTTCCACGCAGTAGTATTTCCGTGACCAATAACAGTTTCAGAGCACAAAGGACCTTTCTGCACAAAGCCACATGGTCCACACCAACTAGTAAGAATCTCAAATGAAACTAGCAAAAGAAACATATTCTTTTAAAGTTTGGACTATACCTTTTCAAGAGATGCACAAGGACCAATAATGCCCTGAACCCTGATATCCTTTGAGCAGTTGACCTCAAATATACCACTGCATAATGTTTTAAAAGTAAAAAACACAAACTATCGAATCTCCAGTTCAGATTATATCAATAATAGTAGAGTTTTCAAGACATGCAAGCAAATTGGTAAAACAAATCAAGTTGCTTAAGTTAGAGAGAGCATTAAATAGAAGCAAAGTGGAGTTTAAAACATGGTACTGGCGATATCACTGTCTAGCTGAAATATCTATTTAAGAAAATAAAATAAAAGAAAGAAAGAAAGAAAGAACAGTAAAATAACCATGCTGCCATACATGACACGTTTTTCCACAGTTGATAATGCATGTGAACTTATCAGATGCTTATTGTCCTAGTACATATTGCCAAAACATTTCAGCAGCAAATCTGAAGAATTGTAAACTGACATATGACATATGTTTCTATTTTATTTTTTATTTTTTATTTTTTTTTGATTGGCACCGTGGTGTCTGGATCACAGGCCGACTAATCCCCAAGGGTGCACAGACCCTCAGCAAGAAGTTTTCTGGAAGTGCACCATGGTTAATTCAAGGGTTTTCCCCCAGTCTGATAACTCCAAGGAATTGTTAGCACCTAAAAGGTTTAGATCTTGAATCTCGGAGGGAGCACACCCCCAAGACCCAAGGCCTTGCCACCAGGCCAATCCCTTGGGGTTCATATGGCATATCCTTACTTCATCTTCAATACCTTAAATCTTCTCTATCTTTCTTTATTCTGAGACCAAAAATCATTAATGTCAATTAGAAGAGGGCAAGTATCCGACAAAATATGGTTTATTCCTCTGAACAAATGAAGGACGGCCCAATATTCCAATATTAAGATTAATGATTTGCAGACAGATTTTAAAGTTATCTTCTACATTGTATTGAAATAAAAACATTCCAAGCAAATTATGCTAGGATTCGTTGGATGGGGAAAAAATTGCTTATTTATAGCGATATTAATAATGAGTTATAGAGAGGTTATTGATGACAACCATGACCAACTATTGAAGACTCTTCATAACAATTACTAATTTATTTTATAAGCCATAATTGAAAGACAAACAAGAGTTCAACCAAACCTTACTTTGATGATAGACCAAGATCATGGTCACCAGATTGGAAAATATGTTTAAGAGAATCCTTGAAAACTGAATGACCAAAACTTTCTGCTAGCACAACAAGCCCTCCAGTTCTTTCAACCGCTACTTTAAGTTCTGCAACCCCAACCTAAAAAGTAGCAGAAAGTCATGCAAAAGAAACACTAGTTCATTCCTCAATTCCATAAGAGCAATGCAAAATAATAAAGACCTACCAAATATAATGGTCATATGTGTTGAAATTTAATTTTAGTAATCTTTATATTTTCTTATTTATCCTTACTTTATAAATAAATGAACGTGGGATAGATGTATGCCACATAAAGGATTCACCAATTTGATAAATTTTTAAAAAGTAGGGTTGTACTTTAATCACACTATTTTCTTCTCCTCAAGAAGTAAGCTAAGTATTTTAAAATTTTTCTTGTATTTTTACCCTAACAATTATACTCTAATACTATGCAAGAATTATAACAATCTTAATTTCCTAATAGTTCGAATACGTGATCTTTGTTGAATATAGAAATTAGAGTATATAAAATCTTTTTATTTTTAGTATCATGTATATAATCTGTGATTGTGTCAATCACTGATTTAGTATTGTTTCCTTATTTATACCGTTTCCTTATTTATATCGTTCCCTAAATTGTATCATGAATCTATTATATATACATGGTCTCTACCTCATTCATGGTAAAGCTAAATAATTCTTTTCATTCTTTAATCTTGAGTTCCTGAAAAGTATTCGATACTCCTCAAAATTACATAAATTTAATTTCAAGTATCAAATATGTTCAGAAAATATCTTATACATATCCGTGAGTATCCAAAGAGTATCGATATCTGATACAGATGCCACTCCCTTCTAGAAGTATCCATGCTTCATAGGTTGCAGGTCGTTGGAGTTTACCCTGCAAGGGTGAGTCCAATACGGCCTTGTCTTCGAGGGGTTCCTCATCATCAAAATAAGAAATAGTGATGATGCATAAAACAGTATCATGTTTCCATCAGAAAACATGTGCAATATCAAGTAAATGACAAGCACTATGCAGTAGCTCATTTATTTCTCCATTGTTATGTGGGTTCGGGGGTGTAGCATCCATTTTCTTCATCTTTGGACTTTGACGGGTTACACAACAATTAGTAATTGGCTTGATCAAGTTCATTTTATTGCCAAAATTGAGAAGGGAATCTATATGGAATAGGAGCCTTTAGTATTTGGTGAATTTGGAGGAGAGAAATAAAAGTAACTCTGAAGATAATTAAACTTTATATTGTTAAGTTGAAACACTTCTGCTTAATTATACAATTGTCTTCACTTTTAAAAATCTAAGTTCCAGCCTAGTTGGCTCTCTACTTAAATTAATAACACAGTCTATTTAAAAAAAACTACACCAAGTTTAGTCCCCATCTATTAAGCACGGGTACTCCAAAAATGTTGTCATACAAGTACCAGGTACTTACCAAGTGCAAGTACGCCAAAAACGCACCGGATACGTTTTATACGATTAGTATACTAATGGGTACGGGATGGGTACGCAATCAGTATGTAATGGGTACGTTTTTGGATACTTCGGGGTAAAAAACAAGATTTTCTACAAATTAAAGGGTACCGGAGCAATTTTTTTGGCTCTATTTTAAAAAATTATATAAATCTGGGATTCTTTTGTAATAAATAAAACATGAAACCAATTAAAATTAGGGTTCTAGATCTATTCCATTATCTCCTTTAGAAATACTCCCAAGAGAGTTGAAGAACTCCTTCGAAGGTGCGATTGAAGAGGTTTAATCGTTGCTAATTGATTCTCTCCTTCAAAGACCACATATTGGTAAGTTCATCTTCGATTCTTCCTAATCTTCTTCTTCGATTCTTCTTCCTCTTTCATTCATTTTTTTCCCCAGATATTTGTTCTCTTTCTTCGCAACAAACAAAGATCGAAGATGCCTTATTCTTTTCTTTCCATCATTTTTCTTCGATTCATTCTTTCATTATTTTTTTTTCTAGATTTTTGTTATGTTTCTTCGCAGCAAACGAAGAACGAAGAAGCATCGTTTTTCTTCAATTCTTCTTCCTCTTTCTTTCATTTTTTTCCATATTTTTTTTTCCTTCTTTACAACAAACAAATTGATCTGTTCTTTTTTTTTCCCCTTCATTTTTTTTGATTTGATTCTCCTCTTTGATTTTCTCTTTCTTTGAGCCTTCTTCTTCTTCCATTTTCTTGAACTCCATTGTTTTCTGATATATATCATATATATATTATATATTTTATTTTTTATATTTTTTTTCCCCACAGCCACTAGAATTTCATGCAACTTGCAAGTTTAGAACCTTCTCTGTAATCATCTTCTAAAAAAAAAAAGGTAAATAGCCCTCTGTTATTTAACTTTGTCCTCTTTTTACTGTTGCAGACTGTAGTAGACACAATAAAAAAAAAAAATTGTTATTTAAATATTTGAAAAGTTATATACTCGAATGAAGTGAATGAATTCACAAATTATTTTTCTAATGGTTATATAATTATATTATAGGAATATGAGTTCATCAGGAAGTATACGTTCAACTGCAAGTGCCTCTTCTATTGATACTAGTCAAACTGGGGATGAAAATGCTCCTCTTTGGGGTTACGTTACGAAAATAGCTAAAAGGGATGAAGACAGAAGTGGTAATACCAAATTTTGGTGAAATTATCGTAATACTGAGTTTCAAGGTTCATACTCTAGAGTCAAAGCACATTTGTTGCTAGTTTCTGGGCATGAAATTAGAGTGTGTGCAGTTTTAAAGAATAGGCCTGATCTTTTTGCTGAAATGCAAAAGGCAGATAAAGAAGCTGAGCATAGGCAAAAGATGGCAAAGCCTAAAGATGTTCCTTTACCACCTCCCTCTTTCCGAATTAGTTCTAGCGTAGGGGTGGTAGGGAATGTTGGAACATTTAGATTGGATGGTTATGAACCAAAAAAAAGAAAGACAAATGGGAGTAGTGCCTTAGATAAAGCATTCAATCAAGGTGTTAGAGAACATTCGCATTCTTTAATTGCTCGCATGTTCTATTCAGCTGGGTTAGCCTTTCATTTGGCTAGGAATCCATATTTTGTGGGTGCTTTTAAATTTGCTGCTGAGAATCAAATTATAGGGTATGTCCCTCCTTGTTACAACTTATTGAGGACTACTCTACTTCAAAAAGAAAAAACAAATATTGATAGGCTGTTGGAACCAACAAAACAATCATGGAATAAAAAAGGGTTGAGTGTAGTAGTCGATGGATGGACCAATGCACAAAGGAGACCTCTTATCAATCTCATGGCAGCATCTGATGGTGGAGCTATGTTTGTAAGAGCTGTTAATTGTAAAGGTGAGTACAAAGACAAGTATCATATTGCTAAATTAATTAGTGAGGTGATTGATGAAGTAGGCCCTCATAATGTGATTCAAGTAATTACTGACAATACTCCTGTTTGTAGTGCAGCTGGATCAATCATACAAGGTAATTATCCGAGGATATTTTGGACACCTTGTGTAGTGCACACACTTAAGCTTGCTCTTAAAAATATTTGTGCTACTAAAGAAATTGGAGATGTTGCCTATGCTTATGATGAATACCATTGGATTACAATTGTGATTGACGAAGTGATGTTCATAAAAAATTTCATCATGAATCATTCTATGAAATTGGCAATTTTCAATGAATTTGTGCCATTGAAGCTACTTTCTGTTGCAAAAACACGCTTTGCATCTGCAATTATTATGCTAAAAAGGTTTAAGCTTATACATCGTGGCCTCCAAGCAATGGTGATAAATGAGAAATGGTCATCCTACAAAGAAGATGATGTCAAAAAAGCGCATCTTGTTAAGGAAAAAGTGTTGAATGATATTTGGTGGGACAAGATAGAATGCATACTCTCATTTACTTTGCCAATATATGAAATGCTTAGATCTTGTGACACCGATAAGCCGTGTTTACATTTAGTCTATGAAATGTGGGATTCAATGATTAAAAGGGTGAAGGCATCCATTTATAGGCATGAAGGGAAGTTAGAAAATGAAGAGTCAGCTTTCTATTCTGTGGTGCACCAAATACTAGTGTAGAGATGGACAAAAAGCAGCACACCACTCCATTGTCTTGCACATTCTTTGAATCCGAGGTATAACTCATTTTTAAACTCTTTCTGTTTTTTTAAGATGGGAAAGGGAAAGAATTTAGTGAACATAATTTAAACTCTTAATATAATAACCTAACATAATTTACTTTTTATTTATTATTTTCCTAAATTTTGTAATCTAGGTATTATAGTGGAATGAGGCTTCATCAAAATCCTATTCGTATTCCTACTCACAAGGATGAAGAAATTTCTGATATGAGAACCAAATGCTTTAAGAAATACTTTCCAAATGCAGAAGAGAGAAGGGTTGTGAATATAGAGTATGCCAAGTTTTCAGAGAGTTTTGGAGATGCCGACTCAATATGCGATAGAGGAGAAATGGAACCAATGGTTTGGTGGTTGGCAGATGGCTCTTCTGCACCTATTCTCCAATCATTAGCAGTGAAATTACTTGGACAACCTTGTTCCTCTTCATATTGTGAAAGGAATTGGAGCACATACTCTTTCATTCACTCCATGCGAAGGAATAAAATGACTCCACAACGTTGTGAGGATTTGGTTTTCATGCATTCTAATATTCGCCTTCTATCAAGGAGTAGTCAACAACACAAAGAAAGCAAGAGCAACTTATGGGACATTGGTAGAGATGCTTTTGATTAATTGGAGGGCTCTAGTTTATTAGAAATTGCAAATCTTTCACTTGATGAGCCAGAGATGGAAGCCATATTATTTAATGACGAAGTTGATGGAATTGAAAGTTGATGTTCTAAGCTTTCTAGTTTCATTAGGGTTTTCTTTTAATTTTGTTTAGCTTGTTTTTGGCATTAAACTCTATTTTCTAATTTCTTCTATTCTATTTCTATGTAATAATGACATTAAAACAGCTCGTATGATTTACTCTTTTTTGTAATTTCTCTTTTTAATTATGTTATTGAACGTTAATTTGTATGTTAGATGTTTAGCTATAAATTTAAATTTTAAAAAAAGTTGGATGTTTAGCTATAAATTTTTTTAAAAAAATTTGGCATACCCCAGCCGTATCCGTACCCGTACCCTACTTTTTTTTTAAAATTTGTCATATCGGTGTACCCGTATCCCGTACTCGCATCTGTGCTTCCGAGGTCCCCATTAATGGCGTTTGGAAGAGGAGGATTGAGTACAAGCCTAATCTACAAAGTAGGCCCTCATATTCGAACCCACAACCACAAGGTTATTGAGCCAAACTTTAACCATCAATCCAATAGCCCCTTATTTTTAATGTTTTCTTTCGAAACAAGAAAAACAAAAACAAAAACAAAAACAAAAACAATCCACATTCTAGAGAAATTCTATCTAACAATATTTTTAGACTCAGGCGTCCACCTTCGTGGGTTCTCCCATTTATCTATACGATTTTATCTACTACATGCATGCATATTTATGTATGTTTCTGCAATGTTGATTGTGAATATCGTAGATCGATACCAAAAAATATTGCACTATTTACGGAAAAGGGCTCTGCATGAGACCTTAAATACAAGTACTCTTAGATAGTAAGCATTCCACACACAAGAATTGCAAATTCAAAAACCAAGCATCAGCAACCCTATCACCATCATCTATCAACCAACTTATTAAAATAACCAAAGAAATGGAATTGTGGAGATCAGGCAAAAATGGAAGCACCTGGTCAAGCTACTGAAAATAAAAATAAAAACAAGAAGAAAGAACGAAGCAGCAAAAAGTACCTGATCAAGTGCACAAGCAAAGAGATCAAGGACATGCCCTTGATGTACAAGCTGTTTTGCAAGTGCTTCATAGAACTTCACGGCTTTATGATAATAGGGAGCAGAATCTTTATCCAAGTCCTTATGAGAACGTACAGGTTCAGACAAGTTTTTTGACACAATCTGCAAGTTTGGGATACAAAATAAACTACTCAGCATACCATAACAATTCAACAAGAAAAAATATGAAGCAAACAAAGAAATTACAAGATCATAGCAACTAGCTCCATCAACATGCAATAATGTTGGTATCCTGCTTTAGGCTTTCTGTTCTTTAAAAAGTCAATTGGGGCCAAAATAATTACGAACTCCATGCCTCAAATGCAGTACATGCTGTTCTTTTAGTAGATACAAGATGAACTGACCACAGAAAGAGTGGAGGTGGCTTTAACTATATACAGGGATAAAGAAGCAATTAGCTTGAGTTGGTCACTGGAAAAGCTACAAAAAAGATGAGAAACTTTATGTTCACGTTTCTTCAGCTGCCCACAGTCACTAAATCGTAACCATTCCCTTTATGAACTGTTTAATCATGAAATGTGAGTGTGTAGGAGGAATGAGCAATCTTTAGATCACTTGCTTTTGTGCTGGTGGCACCGACTTCTTGCTCTCAATTGCTTTTGGTTGTCTTTAGGGCTTTTGGCACCTACAAGAACGCAAAAGTCTTGTGGAATTGAGTTTTCTTCTCACTTATGTGGGTTATTTAGTTAAAGGGTCAAGCTATGAAGCACAGACACCTCTCGGTAAGGATGGCAATTTGAACCCGGCCCAACGGGGACCCGACCCCCCGACCCCGAATTGAATGGTTTTTTCCCGAAAAATATCCCAACGGGCCGGGGATGGTATTTAAAAATAAACCCCCGATGATATTCAGGCCGGGGACGGGGATACATTTTCTAACCCCAGACCCACCCCCGCCCCCGCCCCAGAATTAGCGCCTTCTCGTGCCGATGAGGTCGATGATTGGGGGTCTACGAAGAGGTCTGTTTCTAGTAATGGATTTGAGAAGAGAGGAGAGAGAGGGGAGAGAGGAGGGTTTTTCGGGTCTGATTCTAGAGCTGATGAATCTGATAGTTGGGTTTTGAATAAGAACTTTGTTCCTTCTGAAGGACGGAGATTTGAGAATCAGAGGGAGAGAAGAGTGGGTTTCGAGTCAAATGGCGGCGTAGATTCGGAGAATTGGGTGAAGAAGAAGGACGTTGATGATGTTTTTGATGATGTTCATAAGGGTTTAATATATATTTTTGATGATGTTCATAACGTCACTATATATATATTTCTTATATTTTTTCGTAAGGGTTTAATACGGACGTTGATTCGAGTAAAGTTTTTATATTTATTGTTGCGGAGTAAAGTTGTCAAAACAATGGGTGATAATTTGAAGGACATTGATGATGTTTTTGATGATGTTGAAGATGTAGTTGATGTTGCGAATGTTTGATGATGGTTAAATATGTAGTTGATGTTGATGATGTTCACAAGTTTGATGATGTTGTTTTTTTTTTTGATGTTTGATGATGTTTTTTGAGCTCAGACGTTGTTGATGTTGTGTTTTTTTTTTTTTTTTTGATGTTGTTTTTCAGCTCAAATAACTCGTTTTCTGTTGATGTTTTTTTTGGCCAGGGATTTTCGGGATCGGGGAAACCCGATCCCCGTTAGGGGGCGGTAGTGGGTTCCCCGTCAGGAATCGGGGCCGGGGCCGGGGACGGGAAAATTCCCACCATCGGGGATCGGGGATCGGGGACGGGGAGGGCGATCCCTAGCCCCACCCCGCCCCGTTGCCATTTCTACTCTCCGGAGGCCACGTAAGAGTGTCAAACACAAGTCGGACACGGACACACACCGGACACGCTGGAAAGAGTTAGACAAGCTAGGACAAGCTGCCAGCATGTAGAGGACACGCTAAGGACATGACGTAGGCCAAAAGGTACTACATTGAGGCCGCTTAAAGTACATTTATAGTCTGTGAATTTTGTCTATTTGGCAAAGATAATGTGTTTTGTGCACTTACACAGATTTGACAGGCAACACGCAAATTCAGGCGAAAAGTGGCACAAACGCAAATTTTCCGCTCAAGAAGTGAAAAAGCTCGGCCTGCTACCTCACCAAACGTGCGGCCAAACTTCACCGCACGTGCGGCCCACCACCGCTCGAGCGGAGCGCCCACCTAGGGACGCATGCGCAGAATTTCAAGTTTGTTCTACTGAGAATAAAAAGAAGAAAAAGAGACTGCTCTAGGGTTCCGAAAATTCCAAAAGAGATGAGGGGCTAGGGTTTTGGAAGGAGGGTTCACAAGCTACAAGAACATCTTCCATGGGGGTTTCTTTTTCTTCTTTCTCTTCTCACTCCTCCATGAATGGCTAGGCTTCTATTTCTAGGGTTTTGATGAAACCCTAGCCAAGTAAATAGGGTTTTCTTTTTGGTTTTTGATTATGTAATAGTTTGAACAAGTTATATAGTATTCAAAAAGTGTTTAAATATATTTTCCATTATTTCTTCAAGTATTCTTCTTTTTGTGATTGTTGAATGCTTTTTATGCAATGATTTTCTATTCTTTCATATTTAAGGTATGAGACGAGCTATACTACGAGGGACGAGTCGTTTTGCTACTCTAGTTTAAAGCAAACGACTTGTGCTACTTGAGATGATTCGTGCCTATACATTGAATATGATAATTCTCTTTATCAATGCTTCGAACTTGTAGTTGAGAGGTATTATTTGGTTCGAACCATAACATAATTGATTTTCAAATTAAGACCTTATTTATGTAACTAGTAGTGAATTCATTACCCCAGGTTTTTTTCCAAAAATCAATAACACCAATTTCGCTTTTAATTGCTAGGTTAAGTTTTTAGTTTATTTAAGTTATTATTAGTTTATGAATTAATCAAAATTAAATTAGAAATTTAACAATTAAATTAGTTTAATATCACAATTGTCCCTGTGGATTGATAACTGAACTTACCATTGTTCTAAGGAATTTGATATGGTTTAGTGTTTATTTTTTGTGTGTAAAACGGCCCATCAAGACACGTTAAGGACAAGCTGAGGACAATTTTTTTTTACTAAAATAACATACCTAAAATTAATAAATTTGATAAAATTAAATATTTGACATAAAATACATATTAAATCTTTAAAAATATGATATAATATATATATAATTATATTTTTTGCACGTGTCCCCCATGTGTCGTATCTTGCATTTTTTGAAAATTTACATGTTCGCGTGTCCGTATCCGTGTCTGTGCTTCTTAGGCATCAAGCTAGAGTTTTTGAGGATAAGTTTAAGGAAATTGATTCTTTATGAGATTAAGTGTGTTATTTATTCTCTTTTTGGGCTTCAGTTTCTCCTCCTTTTATGGAGGGGTTCTACTTTTTCTCATTCATAGGGATTGGAGGGATACATGCCCTTTGTAGGTGGCATTCATGACATTTGTGTCCTTGTCTTTTTCTTTCTATCTTTCTTTCTTTCTTTTTTTGGGGCGGTGTGCCATTTGTACCTTTTATTTTCATCAATAATTTTTTTTAAGTTGTCTATAATCAAAAAATTAAAAATAAAAAAGCAGATTAAAGCCATCAATGGAGTCTTGGACTGTTGGTGTTAAAGCTATCAAGGAGATCATATTGGGTATTATTGACAAGCTTGGGACATCAAAACTTAATAGGCATGCAATGAAAAATAGTTTTGAGGAGTCAAATTTGGGAGTTATGCAAGCATTTCCTATATGTTTCACCTATTTTTTAGCTCCAAAACACTATTGAAGCTGCTCATCAAGGCACTGCTCACCCAGATTCTTTGTATACCTTTGCTAAGGATATATAGTCCATAAAAGAAGAAAAATTAGGTCAGACTTACGAGAGGTCAATAATATATCATTTCAACAAGCTAAAAATAAAAATAAAATTAAAAAACGCACTAGTCTTATACAGCCTTGAAACAAGGTAAGTGAGAATTTAACAATCTTGCTCATTGCAAGTGTATCCATTCAGAATGGTAATGCTGAACACGATAGTAGGAAAAGAGGCAATATGGGATATTCATATGGAGTTTGATTTTGACCTTCTCCTATGCAGTTTAGGTTTAAGTTGGGGCTAATCTTACATTTATATTGGGTAGTTTGCTCCTAATTTAGTTAAAGTTAAGTCTTTCATTTGTTTCAAAACAAATGAATTGAAGAAATGTTTAGAACTTGGTACTTAGATGAGATGCATCTTTCATTAGTATGAGGTGCCTAGCTGCTTATGGTGGGTTAGTTTGCTCCTAATTTAGTTAAAGTTAAGTCTTTCATTTGTTTCAAAACAAATGAATTGAAGAAATTTTTAGAACTTGGTACTTAGATGAAATGCATCTTTCATTAGTATGAGGTGCCTAGCTGCTTATGGTGGGTTCCAACTTGCAAACAAGAAAGGGAGGTTTGAGGTGAACTCTTTTTATCTGGGCATTTGCTCCTTTGGGGACCCATCCAAAGTGGCTTTCTTTGTGTGCAATGCAACTCATGAAAAACCTCCTGGCAATTGACAGTTTAATTGAGAGGCAATAGCTTTTCTTTGTAAAGGGGTTGTGCACCCCCTTTGTGTCACCTTTTAATAAGATTATAGTCAACAAAAAAAATTAAGAGGAAACAATTTTTTGTTAACTGGTGTTGCCTTAGTGTGATGCAAAGTACGTTTCGCATCTGCATATTCACTGCAGTGTGGCTAGGGATCTTGGGTTCTAGTTTTGGCTTTAATCGGGATGGATTGGGTTTTCCATGGAGATTTGGTAGGTGTTTTGTTTGGTTGGAGGCACAGAGCAGAGGAAGAAGTCTTGGCATTTTAATACACTGTGCTTCAATGGCCTGTTATGGAGGGAGAGCAATAGGAGGATATTTCAAGGAATAGAGCAGCTATTGTATAGACTAAAAAGCTGTATTCTAAAATCTCAGAGTGAGAGTATCACCATCAATATTTGAGCAAATCCAATCCTCGTGTGATTAAAATTATTTCATTGTGTGATTTACTACATTGGTATTAAGAAAAGCAATTGCTGGAGAAACATGTCAAGTAAGTTGCTGATTTCATTTAATTGAGGAGAATTTAAGATTGGAGAAAGACTTACTGCACCCTGCCCTTCGGTTGTTGGCCCACCTGTAAAAGCCATGATTCTAGCCCCAGAACCCGGAACACATGCTCCCAACAAATGTGCAGCTAGACTCAATGCCGTGCCAGTACACCTTGTTGCCCTTTGATCTGCCGGGACGGGCCAAGGATCTTTCTGAAGCTCTTCCAGTATCTTATTAATTGAAACAAAACAAAAAAAAACAAAAATTTTAAAATGGGAAAGAAAATAGCAACGCAAGTAATGCCAATCAAAGGAAAAGAAACATAAACAGCCGGTCATGTTTATATAAAGTAAATTTCTTCAAATCCCACCACTATGACCTTTTACCAATGAATTCAAAACTAACACACTAAAACCCACATGAATGTCAGATATAATGGTTTCCAATTCTTCAAGATATACACACATAAAAACAAGCCTATCAGCATATAACTATTGAAATGCACTAAAGTGTTACACAAAACCCAATTAAATCATAAATGTCACATTCACATACAGTAGTGTTAAAATTGATACAAGCTACACACTTATGATAATACATATGAACATGAAGAAGTGAATTCTATACCGAATTGATTGCAAACTCGCACTCAGACGCAGGCAACAAGAACCGAGAAATACTCTCCTGCGAAAGCCCATCCCTGACGCCAGCGATCACCCCAGTGGCCGGCTTCGGCCTCTTAGCAAAAAAATTCATCTGCTCCAAAACCTGATCTTTAGTAACCTCCTTAGACCCCTTAAACACATACACCTTAGGAATCTGAGCAAAACCCAGTTCATGAACATTGACATAAGTCCCAAAGGTGATCAACCCAACAAGCGAATTCTCAGGCAAAAGCCCCACAGCCTGAGACAAGGCCGATTTCAAAAACCCAATTTCCTCTTCGATCATACAAGTGTCGATGACGAAGAGAAAGACAGGAGGGACATTGGATTTCTCGGAAGGAGATTCGTATTCGATAGTGGTGTACTGGGGGAAGAGCTCGGCGGGGAGGTTATCATCGGAGATGGAGTGGTAGTGAGGTGGGAAGTGATTGCGTTGGAGGCAAAAGGGGCAGATCCAGATCTTGGAAGCGAAATCGACGATGGAAAAAGGGTTGAGGACTGATCGGCAAGTGCGGCAACGGAGAGGAGAGTAGGGGAGGAGTGGGAGGGAAGGGAAGGGTTTGAGAGGGGTGTAGATGGAGGCGATTGGGACGACGCAATTGGAGGATTCTTGCTTTGTGCCTGGGAGGACGTTCCATGGCATTCGGACTGCGTCTTGGGTTTCTAGGTCTAGGAATTCCGCCATGGTTGGTTTGCTTTGCTTTGAGAGAGAGAGAGAGAGAGAGGGAATTGATGATGATGCCTAGTGATGGAGTTGTTTTAGGGCTTTTGGGGATTGTCTGGACCTTGGAGTGAGAGAGAGAGAGAGAGAGAGGTGGCCAAGGTGGAGGGGAGGTGCAGTGGAGTTCTTGATGAATCACATCGCCTTTGTTGAATAATTCATCATTTTCTGTCTTTCTTTGACAAATGTTTTGATTGGAAAATGATGAAAAATGTTTCATATCACTCATGTCACTCATTTGGAAAGTGGGTTAATTTTTTTTTAATTATTTTGCTCTTAATTAAAAAGTTTGATTTTGAAAGAAGTTTTTGGCTTTTTGGTTTTATTGTATTTTTTTATGAGAGAATAGTATAATGATTATAGATTGAATGTGATATTTTATTTATTAGGATTAAAATAACTTATTTTGTATTTTGTCATTATTTTAACCACAAACTATCTTTCCAAACAGACCTTTAATGACATAGCGTCATGTAAATTTCACTATTAATGCAATAGTTTGGCGTTTGTTTTTTGTTTTTATCCTTACATTTTGTTTTTTTTATTTTTTTACTTGTATTTGCCACCTACTTTTAGAACAACTTATTTAATGCTTTAAATCAGAACTGAAAAATGATATACAAATTATATTTTTAACAATGATACATCCTAAATGAAGGAGCTTTAATGAATCTAATGACATTGAAAATTTAACACAAAAAAAAAAACACAAATATCATAATGGGACTTATTTTCAATTAGACCTCTTTTTTATTAGAACTTCAAAACCTTTTCGTTTTTTTTAAACTCAATTTTTAATGGAGATTTATTTTTAGCATCTCTAATATTACAATTTTATTTAATATAAAAGATATTTAATATTTTTATAATATCTTTTTTTTTAGAGGCATATTTTTATAATATTTAAGGTCCCTCAAATCGATCCAAAGAAAATTCAATCAAAAAAAATTCTCTCTAAACCAACAAAAATTTGTCTCATTACGTATAGAAAATTACTCTGGGTTCAAATTAGAGAAAATTGAAATTTCTCCGACATTGTTCACAAATTTCTGTGGCTTTGTTCAAAGAAAATTAAAGGTTGCATTTGAAAGAGTTTTAGAAATATGATTTGAGGATAGAATTGTATTTTGAGTTTATGAGTTTTTGAATTATAATTTGAGTGTGAAAAACTTGTAGGGTTATGAGTTTTAAATTAAATTTGAAATGAATGATGTTGCATATGATATTTAATTTAAAAACTTACAACTCATAACCAAACACACAATCCAAAATCCTATTTAAAACTCATAAAAAAAATTAAAAATTTCTGGATATATTTTTAATTTAAAATATAAAAATAACATGTGCACAAAAAAGGAAAAAAAAAAACGAACATTGTTCCGGTCAACTGGACAGACGTCCCGGAGGACGATCGGGTTAGTCAAATTTTCCCACATGGAAAGGAGTTTTCAAAAGTGGATATGAAATTATAATTTGAAAACTTAAAACAAATACCACACTCAAATTAATGGGTGAAAATGTATTTGAAAAGTTTCTCTAAACACAGCCAAAATTTATCTGACTTTGTTCACAAAGAATTAGTTTGACTTTTTTCACAAATTTATCTGTGAAGAAAACTCTGTCTTAGCTTATCCAACAATTCTACTGTAAAATTTATACCTATCAAAACAATTCAATAATTCACACAATAGCTAACTGATCACAAAATTCAAAGACCATCCAAATAGTAAAACAAATTGAACATAATATCTTCTAGAACTCAGCAGTATGATTAAAGCTACAAGTATATCTGATTTACATCACGTATTGTAAATCAGCCAACAGAGAGCGAAGGAGATCCTCAACCTCCAAAAACAAGAAAGTATGTGAAAAAAGATAATGTCATGTGGAAAACACAAGTGTCCCACCGTCTTCCACATGTCAGGCCATGGATGCCAGTAGAGATCGTGCTCAGTACCCACCATCTTCTAGAACTCAGTAGTATGTCCATCACCGTCGCAATCTTAAAGATCTCTTTTTCCCTTTCACCTTTACTCATCTCTTCTCCATGAACTCTCTTTCTCTCTCTCAAATCTGACTTCGTGGAGCTCAAAGACCCCCGAGAAGCCGGCAAACTCTCTGAGTTAGGTCTGGAATGGTCGAACTACATTGTTGGTGAAAGAAGTTGTCACGACCCAAACCCGGCCCTATGGGTTTAGCACCGTAACCGGCCAGTAATCCGAGATTACCGAAGGCCTGTAGAACAGTAACACAGTAAAACAGAGTACAGGGCCTGGCGGAAGCCAATACAGTAAATAAATAATGTCCATTGAACTGTGACAGTCTGTATGCCAAAAAGATTTTCCATGCATTTATATAATCACAATAGTACAGGCTATACAAGCATGCACAGACATTCAGTAAAGGGATCTAATCCCTTGATAACAGTACAGTACAGTGGATAATAGTCTATACAGTAATACAAAACAGTAACAGGGACCAGCAGGGGAAAAGACACCCCAAGCCATAACATGGCGAACTTGGAACCTCGCAGTGAGGCACGGTGGTTGGTTTGACAAAACTGGAATAACCCTGACGCCTCTAGCTTTGGTCCGGTGCCCGTACACCTACATATATATATGAGCAGTGAGCTAAAGCCCAGTGAATAACATAAAGCGTAAAGGAGTTTAGAATGAATGTCCTTACAGTAATGAAAACAGTTCATTTCAATCAGTATTTCAGTTGCTCAGTACAGTAAACAGTCATATGTGGTACATCCATTAGCATATCAGTAACAGTAGGTCTTAAAAGACCGAACAGTAATGATGGCCATCAGTCAGTAAACAACAGTGGCTCCACGAGGGAACCGACAGAGATCTCTGTAACAGTAACAGTAAACAGTAGGTGCTAAGGATGCCACAGTACAGTTCAGAAATAAAGGACATACATTCATTCAGTAATACCAGTTCAGTAAATAGTTCAGTTCAATATTCAAAAGATAATCAGTTAAACATATCTTTACACAATTGTTACTCACAGAGATCTGGGCTACAGTAGGCTAGAGCGTTTCCTCGAAATGCCAACCCTACACAGTTAACAGATTGAACACACTCTAAGTTACACTATTGGGAAAGATAACAACTTAATCCCTAAATTTGCCTCGGTGTGTTCTACATCTATATCCTCATTAAGATGTCTAAAACTAGGCCTAAGAATGCCTAGGGTGACATGAGGATGCGAAGATGCACTTAGAAAACATTTTCAGAAAACAGAGTCCCGCTCGAGCATAAGTCACTCCGCTCGAGCGGACATGCAAACAAAGGTACCCGCTCGAGCGTATAATTACCCGCTCGAGCGTTATGCAAAAACAGTCAAAAGTGCTGGATGGGTGGAATCTCCGCTCGACGGACGCTCGACGCCCGCTCGAGCTTGAGACGCATGACTCCGCTCGAGCGCCCAATCCTCCGCTCGAGCGGACTGTAAAACAGTGCTGAGATACTGGATGCTCGGATTCTACGCTCGAGCGTCTCTATCTACGCTCGAGCGGGAGTGCAAAATCTGGAAATCCCAAATTGCACCTCCAAACTCCAACTCAAGTTCAAAAGCATCAAAACCGATCCTCTTGGGCTAATTTCTGGAAAAACACTTGTAGACACATGGAATAACATGTTTCAAAGCTCAATTTGAGAAATCAAAGCCCAAGGGTATTTAATTGAAACTCCATTTTAACCATTTTTCAAGAACAACATTCAAACATGACATGCATGAGTTCTAAACCAATTTAAAGCTCCAAAGCTTGTTCAAATGAGCTCATTTCTTTTCAAAACCAGATGAACACATGGTCTATAACAACAATATGAGCATGCATGTACTAATGTCCATGTAATCAACCTCAAAATACAACAATACTAACATGCATGCAGGAATTATGTTCTAATCCTACATGTATGAACTAAAACAAGACTTAGCTCTACAATTCAACATGGACCATGCAAGAATTAGCTTAAACACAAAAATGAGAAGATGAAATCCTCACCTAAGTCTTGTATTCAAGGTTTAGAAGTCCAATTTAGCAATCTACACTTCAATTACCAAGCAATTCTTCAAGTTGAGCTCAATTCTCTCCTATCTCCTCTCTTGGTCGGCTAGTATAAGGAAAAAGGGCTGAGGAAATGGTTTTTGATTCAAGTGTATGAGTGTATACAAGGCTCAAAGGTGTGTGAGATAGTGGCCCACTTAGTGGCAAGTTGGTAATTACGGCAAACTTTGCAATTAACTCGTTTTCATCTAATTTAATCATACCTAATCAATTTTCAGATAACTTTACCATAAAATCACATTAATTACGCTGATCATAAAACACCAATCAATTTTGGATTCGACCGCCGATAAGGCCTTCAACTTACAGTCTAAACATATAAGCATGAACAGATAATCATACAGTCAAACAGATAGAATGCACAATTAAACAGATATACTCAGTCGATTCCGTTCCAGTTTTCAGTCAGTCAGTTCGGTACTTCAATCAGTTCAGTTATCAGTCATAATCAGTTCAGTTTAACGGTAATTTAGCAGTTAATCAGTCATTGATCGGTAAACAGTATGAGGGTTGTTACAGAAGTGTTACAGCAAGTTTGTCGATTTTCCGATCAATAACTCATCGGTTTTTCGTTCTTTGCCTCAGTCTCCTCCTTTATCACTGACACCTCCTTCTTCTCTGATCAGATCAGATTCACACGCCATTTCCTTGAAGAGCTACCTCCACGTTACCACAGTGAAGTCATCTTCCATGTATATCTGTTGGCTTACTGATATCCGCTACGTCTCTCATATCCATGACAACCCCGACCCATGATTAAGCTAATTCCTAATTAAGCATGTTAAGTAAATAATTAAGACGAAATCCTAAATTAATTACATGAGTGTGTTGCTTTAAATGCATTTTTATGTGTTTGATGTAGAAAGACTTGTTCATATTTTAGTTTCAATTTGCGAATTGAAGGCCTTATCGGCATCGGATTCAGAAATTGACTTGATTTGTATGTTAATTAGGATTTATAGAATTTTGTGGTAGATTTGATTAAAATTCGATTCGGAACGAATAAATTAGAATAATTAGTGCCAATGTGATTAACATAAGTCAATTTAATTAAGTCACTCTAATTAAGCCTATATAAGGCTACTTTGACTCCTTTACTTGGCTTTACA